TCAAAAGTAGGGCATAAACTTAAGGAAATCACTCATAGTAATAGTCTAAGCTAGCAAAGTTGTTAAAGTGCAAACGTATGAAATCAGCATTTAACGATAGAATAAAGGGATAGGAAAAAATGTAAGATGAAGGGTCACTGTTAAACAGTAATAAGTGCTTATTAAGGTTATATTGATCCTGTTGTAGGCTTAAATTAGCAACTAATGAGTTCAGGTCAATTTGTTATATATATGGCAAAACATACTTTATACCCAAGTTATAAACAAACAAGTCAAATCTTGAGTTTTATTCACGCATAGATGATTCACAACCCAGTTTGTTTTCAAAAGTTAGTGGAAGAATAGGGAGAAGTTGATTATAAGGTTAAGTGAGTAAAATTTATACGTATGAGTCATTCGAATTTTATCACTTATGCCTAGGATATAAATAAATTGTATAAATTTCAATATTAGAGAAACAAATCAACTGATATTATAGAAGAAATGTGACAAAGAGAATTCAGTTATCGATCCTAAGTTTCCGTAGGAATCAAATTCATTTAATCAATGCCTTCGCTATTTAAATACTTAGGGGAACTACTGAATTCAAGCTTATTTTAGAGCTTATTATTAAGATTATCTGGGGTCGCCATTTAATTCAAGACTGAAATTAGAGTAATGGGCGGTGTTTGGAAGTAAAATAAGAACGTGGTTCGTGGCAAGATACGAATAAACAGTCTTCGGAGTATTAATTTTGTACTCCGCCGAGTGAGCTGCAAAATTCAGTGAAGCTTATTTCAGATAGTATCAACAAGAATAACTGAATATCTATCCTCGTTCTCTAATTCACCAAGATTAAAATTAAGATGAGAAAATCAAAATAAGGCATAAGTTCGATAATTTCAGATAAACAAGGATAGATGATTTGTGGAGGATTGTGTTGGTGGGATGGAGAAGTCGGGAAGCAAGTGTTGTCTGTCTCATATTTCATTTCACTCATACATTACTAATCAGTCTCCCCGTGAATATCGTAACTTTCATTCGACTCATTCTCCATTTTGATATATTATCACATATTTATTACTATTCATTATTATTTTAATATTACTATTATTAATATTTTGATTATTATTATTAGTAGTGGTATTAATATTATTATATCGATACTGTTATTGATATTGCTATTGTTACTACTATTATGAGTCTTCAACTTCCTCTTGTCAGTTTTCCTACCCCACACTCTACAAATCTATTAAGATATCACAACCATTGTCTTCCTTATTTTGTAATCGATTTCAGCCTATCACGTTTGTCACACAAATACGACTATTTATTTTGACACCCCATAACTAATCTCTTATTCTACGTTAAAAATGTATCCGCCGCATAACTGGCCATTAATGTAACGACAGTAAATATTATATTTTATAATTGTAAGAACCTGAAGAGAAATTATTGAAAAGAATATTCTTCGTTCAGACTGACTTTTAAAACAAGTAGTTGTCAATCATTCATATAACGGCTGGACAAAAACCTCAGTTATTGAAGTAAGTAAGTCAGTATTTGGTTAACATTCGGGTCTTATATCTCCGTAGGTAAGGTGAATGACTAGCGATTTGAACACCACTGTTTTGAATCTTGATCCCCTCAAAGCCTTTATTCCGTGATAAACCAACATCTAAAAGAGTCCAGTGTATTTGATTTCGATTAACAGAAGTGCTGATATTAAGTCGGACCTAATTGTTTGACCAATCAACGTAAAATTCCGGAAAAATATACTTCAGTTCATGTTATCACACTTTAATGAAGCATACAAGACATACAAGGAGTAATTATACTATAATGGACAAACGTGGGTGTGACAGCGAAAAAAAATTCAGTAAAAACTTGTGGAGGTATGCAGAATCTCAAAGGTGACAAGAAGGAAACATCTGCCGACGTGAAGAGTTCTTCACTACGTCACTAGTATTCTTAATCCGCTAATTCTCCGCTACCTAGTGACCATTCACCCGTAGCCTGCAAAACACAACGTGGTCGAGACTAGTTGTTGAAGCCATTAGGGAGTATATAACATTATGTTTTTGCTCTGTACACTTCTAACCGTTTTCTGACCCAAGCTTACACCTCACAGGAATGCTCATTGAGGATTTCGGCATGAGTAATTTCTTCCCATCACTTTAGACAGTAAAGATTCGCAATCTGATACATGTAACCGGTACCTTATCACCGCTTTAAATTGGAACAGAGTGGATCTCTGTACATTAAGGTACTTATATGGAAATCTCACTGAGGTCAAAAATGAAGCAATTCGGTAAATATCGAACAAGCTTTTTGTTTCTGTGTTGAGATTCCGTCGACAACGCCTCCAACTGGACTTTTATCAACAGCTGCCTTCACTCCATACTGAATATCAGATACTCAGAAAAAATTAGCAATGGGGAACTCTGGCAACGAACCACCCAACAACCTATTATCCGGTAAATATTCAGAACGTAGTAGAGATGGATTGGCGCACACTGAGGAGACTGTTAAGGATATCACGCAGGACCTCAAGCGGAGCCCGTACAGAAAACGATGAGTAGGAGGGTGTTCTTAGTGTAACATCATGGAGATCATGTGAAGAGGAAATGAAAGCTTGTGCATAATTGTAGAGCTAGCTAAAAATAACTCCAGAGAATCAGGTGATACGGAGTTGTTTTAGTGAAGCCCTATGTTCTACTAGCAGCCCCAGGGAATAAAGGTAATAATCTAGCCTGTCAAACATATAATGATCACACATATCACAAACCGATAATGTTTAGAATACTTTTGGGTAGTAAGGAGCACTCTACAACTCTTTTGTTCTCTTCTACATTCTTTTAGAACTACACTTCAGCACGGCATCATTAGATCAAGAAGTTCATGATTTCTAACTTCTCTTAATGCTTAATATATTACGTTCACCATTATTATCATCAGAAAGTAATTTTGCTAATATTCGAAATAATTAAACTTAAACTGTAATTTATATAAATGTTCATCAAGAAACTAGTGACCAGTTAGGGGTGACTGGAAATTAGGTACCTAAATACTTTGTAGTTCTCGATTATCAATTCTTCTCTAACTCATATAATTCCGTGAAAAATTACTGAACATTTACCAATCATGATATAATCTATATTACGTGTTCTTCTTGCTTAGCAGGTAAAAACATGTGTGGTTATGTCATGTGGACATATAAATGTCATTCGATTGTAAATAAGTGTAATGAGTTTCCGATATGAAATACCTTATATTTTTCAGCTTCTCTGTTTGGTTTTTATCTGATGAGACCAAAATGTCACCGCGAATTCAACAAAAAAACACTTTATCATTTATTTTTGAAATCTAGGCCTAATGACAATATACGGATATCTTCATGCACTTCTTTAATTTATCTCTCTGTATAGTTTCTGTCAGTATGAGTTATGTCATACTAGTTCAAGTGAGTTCTAGTGAGAAGTCATGACCAATGAGGTCCATCCAATCGGGAGTGAGGATGGATTTCCCACCGATGATATTGGTTGGTGGTCGCGCTAAGTCACGAATTGGTAGAAGTTAGAATTCATGGGCCCCTAAGTCGAGCCCCGCGGCTGAATTGTATACGAGCTTTCCGTGTGACTGGAAGGTGCTGGGTTCGAATCCCAGTGGGTGCGTACTACCAATCATTCCCGAACTAGGCGACGAAACAGCTGTCCAGTACTCCCTGGTTTTCAATGGTTTTCCAGCTGATATCATTCCGTGATCAGACTCGAAAATTATTGCTCAGGTTATATTGCATTCAGTTAAAATAATGAATCAATAGCATCTGTTTAAGTGTAAACTGCAGGAAAATACATTTTTTGAAAATTTTAACAGGTTTCTGGTTGTAAGGTGAATAGACAGATGAAATATGTTTTGTGTTTAACATACGAAATATATTTTTATCAAAAAGTTAAATGTTAACCGAAGTAAGATTTAGTGTAAGACAAAAGTTAACTTTAGACACCTAAAAGGCACAGCTCACGAATTACCTTGCAGCGAGCATATGCGCTAAATAGGGAATTCGGGCCCCTAACCCCAATCTTCCTTTAACTTAACGTCAATGTAATCCTAAGCTATCCTCAACCTAACCCTGATCTACCTCTAAGAAACCCTAATATCTCTCTGATTGGGTTAACCTAACTCTGAAACATAGGACTTCAACAGCATATCTGCATTTTGTCTGGTTCTGACAGTTCTTATCAGCTGCCCCCAAGACTGTCCATTAGCTTTGACTTCCTTCCCACATGATCTCCTCTATATCACCCTCGGACGCCTAAATCGTCATTCCTAAGTTGGGTCCCACTCGAGGGTCTGGTGGGTGATGTCACCAACAGTTTCTAAATATTGGATCACAGAGTCTTCTGGAGCCTAGCCAGGTAGTTAACGCCCAGGTAGTTCGAATCAGCCATCAAAGACTTCATTGACTGACACCATGTTATAGTTTGACCATCTCACACTATTTTCCAGCCCAATCCGATATCACCTAATATTGTCAGATATGGAAGCTAGTAGTTCAGCATGCGTAACACATGCTCCACGATAATTCTATAAAATATCATGGATGAGGACTTGTCCTCAAACTAAAATTTTTATTCTTCTGCGTCGGTGGCATAATTGCCACTAATGGTCCGGTGATCCTCCGAATGGCAAATAAAAATAATATCAACTAAGGATGAAATCCAGTCTGAACTAATAAATAAATTTTCAAGAGTTGGTTTGTAAGGATTAGATTTCATGGGCCATTGAATCGGGTCCCAGTGGCTGAATGGTATACGAGCTTGTCTTGTAGCCATGAGGTCCTGGGTTCGAAACCCAGTGGGTGTGTACTGTCGATGATTCCCAGACTAGGCTGACGAAACAGCTGTCCAGTACTCCCTGGTTTTCAATGGTTCTCTAACTGATATCAATCCGTGGTCAAACTCGTATAATAAATAAATAAAAATTGTAATATAAATATACATAATTAATACTGAACTTACTTTGTACTAACTGATACATATTCATACTGATTAGAACTCCAATTATCACATAAATCTGAAGTAATAATCTAATACATATGACGAACATGATATTTCGTATAATCTTGAATTTATTTTACTTCCTTTGTCAATTTTTTTCCAAATGTATATTGACTTTTTTGGGGAATCTTTTATGTCAGTTGTTGATGTCTTTGTTTTGGTTTTAAATTCAATCTATTTTTGAATTTTATTCTGACTATAAATAGATTTGACAATGTATTATCTGATAACTAACATTTCATATAATTTTGCCTTTATATATATATAAATATATTTCAAGGTAACCTAACAAGATGTATACAAATGAGTGAATAAAACTCGGTTTACAACTATAGTTGTCATCCCGATATAAGTGGATAAGTTTCACATAAATAAAAACAACCAACCATTTATTATCTTTAATAAATAATTCACTGAACTAATATACCATCTGAGTTCGAAATCAAAATTATCGTAATAGAGCAATAGATATACGCACATACGCACGTACGCACACACACATATACGCACATTTTAAGCCACCTACGCATTTACAGTATACTATAGATATATGC